TGATGGTGATGGTAATGATGATGATGATGATGAAGATGATGATGATGATGATGATGATGATGATGATGATGATGATGATGATGATGATGATTCGGATGCTGATGCTGATGATGACGATGATGATGATGACGATGATTATGATTATGATGATTACGATGATGATGATGATGCTGATGATGATGATGAGGGCGATGATGATGATGATGATGATGATGATGATGATGATGATTCTGATACTGATTATGATGATGATGATGATGATGATGATGATGATGATGATGCATGATGCATGATGATGATGATGATGAGATGATGTTTGTTGGTGGTGATGGTGATGCTGCTGATGATGAGGTGGTGATGCTTTTGAGGATGATGATGCATGATGATGCTGATGTGATGATGATGATGATGATGATTGATGATGATGATGATGTGATGCGGAGGAGGAGGAGGAGGAGGAGGAGGCGGCAGGAGGAGGAGGAGGAGGAGTAGGAGGAGACAAAAAGGAGAAGGGATGAGGAAAAACGGGAGAATGATGATGAGAGGAGAAGAGGAGGAGGAGGAGGAGGAGGAGGAAGAGGAGGAGGGAGGAGGCGGGGGAGGAGGAGGAGGAGGAGGAGGAGGAGGAGGAGGAGGAGGAGGAGGAGGAGGAGGAGGAGGGCTGTGGATCTGTGGTGGTGCCCTCGGGGACCGCTTCCGGAGGAGCGGAAAGCGGAATGGAGGAGGGGAGGGAAGGCACCAGCTGGAGGCCAGAATCCAGTCAATGGAGAACCCGCCCCCGGAATGGCCGTGCTGCCGCCGCCTCTGTTCGGGCGCGGCGCGTCCCATGCGGACCCGCCCTCGGGGCGAGGGCGCTTCCGCTGGTCGCTCAAATCCAGTCAAGCGAAGGATCGGCCAGGATTGATGGCGAGGAAGGAGAGCTCGGGAGAACGAGGGACAGACGGAGAGAGCAGGAGGCGAGGAGAGGGGAGCGGGAGGGGGCGCGCCGGGGCAATGGAAGGGGGGGAAGGGGAGGAAGGCAAGGGGGGCGGGGGCAGGTAGAGAGGCAAACAGACAAGAGGGGGGAGTGCAGGGGGACAAGGGGGCGTGAGAGAGAAAGAGGGAGACGAAAAGAGAGAGAGAGAGAGAGAACGAGAGAACATGAAAAACGAGAGAACGGTAGAGAGAGAGAGAGGGTCAACAAGACAATACATATATATATATATATACACGCATAGAAACAAACAATGAGATAACTATACAAAGAAAGAGGGAGAGAGAGGAAACAAAAACACAAGACGGGCACCGCGGAACCGCATCAAACGAACATGCCCCCCCCCCCGGGACGATGTGTGGACTGGACAAAAAGCATAAGCCGTGCTCCTCCTCCTCCTCCTCGTCCTCGTCCTCCCTCCTCCTCCTCATCCCTCCTCCTCCTCCTCCTCCCTCCTCCACCTCCTCCTCCCCCATCCTCCTCCTTCTCCTCCTTCTCCTCCTCCTCCTCCTCCTCCCCCTTCCTCTTTCTTCTCCTCCTCATCCTCTTCGGGCGGGTGGTAATGGCAGGTGGCCCGATAGAGGGGGTAAAGACAAGGGCCCTAAAGGTGTCCTTCAGGGCTTCTTTTGGGCCACTGCTTGCCCCAAAAGGAACCCTAAAGGGCCTCTTTGAGGCCCTTTCCTTAACCACCCCCCCAGTCCAGCCCTCCCGAAACTCTTCCCTGCTGGTCGCGCCCCCCGACTTGTTGGTAGGGCGGGCTGGGCGTTTCGCCTGAGACTACCTCACATACATGATCCTGAGGCTTGAAGTCCCACCAGCCCTTTGGGCTAAGGTGGTCTAGCGAGTTCTTGCTGTCCTCTTGCACAGCCTTTTCCCTTCGGGGAGGGGTACCCTCCCCCTCCCATCCCTGAGGTTTTTGGGGTGGCGGGCCGCGACGTGTTAGGGCGTCCCTTTTCGCCCAAGACGGCTCCGAGAGGGCCTCCAATGCTCCGAGATGGCCTTCAAGATGGCCCACGATTGCCCACGATGGCTCAAGATAGCTTCCGACATAACTCCAAGAGGCCCGAAGGGGACACGAGACGGTTCCAAGTGCTCTCGGAGCCCCCTCAGGACCCCCCCCAGAGGCCAACATCCTTCAAACACGTCAGGGAAATCAGCGGTTTGCGTTTTCCCGTCGTGTCGCTTCCGATGCGCTTTTGAGGCCGCAAGGTGGCCCCAAGATGGCCCAAGAGAGGCCCACGAGGGGCCCAATCTGTCCCCCAGGCGGCCCCAAGAGCTGCCCAAGAGCTGCCCAAGAGCGTCCCAAGAGGGCCCCGCGAGACGAGTTTGATGGCCCCAGCGGGGAACATTGAGGACCCCCCTCGTTTCATCGATGGCCTCCAAGATGGCCACAAGAGGCCCTCCCAAGGGACCCCCGAGAAGGCTCCAAGAGGGCCCCGCGACCCTCCAAAGAAGCTCCAAGAGGGCCCCACATTGCCCCAGAGAGTCCCAGGAGGGCTTCAAGAGGCGATTTTGAAGGCTCTGTCCTCGTCATCGTTGTGATGCTCGTCCTCGTCCTCGTCCTTGCCCTCAGCGTCTTCCTTTTCCTTCTCCTCCTGTTCCTCGTCGTCGCGGTCATCGTCGTTGTCCTCCTCCTCCTCCTCCTCCTCCTCCTCCTCCGCCTCCTCCTCCTGCTTCCCTCGCCTCCACATGGGCCCCAGGGATAGCCCGAAGAGGCCTTCCAAGGCCACCCCCTTGCTTCCAGAGATCTCTATGTTCACCCTGGTTGCCCACCCTGCTTCGCTAATCACATGTGTCTCTTCGTCGCGTTTCCCGTCAACTCTCATGCGCAGGCTTTCCCGAGTAGACTGGAGGGGATGCTCGAAGCCTGAAGAATCTGCAACAGGTTCACGGGTAGGGTGGTTGTCAATCGGTGGCTCTCGCCTCAACGCCGCGCACAATCGTCCTAAGAGTTTGCGGCATGTTCCAGACGGAAGGGCGGTGATGTTTCAAGATGTGGCTCTCGCCGTAGCGCCGCTCACAGTCTTTCTTTGAAAGCTGGCCGCAGTTGATGAATGATTCGCAAGGTCGGAGTCCCAGGAATGGCAGTCTGGCAAAAACCTTAAGATTGTCAGGGCGCAGCAGTAACGCTGATTGGTGGAGTTGAAGTCCCAGGGAATGTGTTCTGGTCTGGTTTAAGATTGCCTGGTCGCAACAGTCACGTTGGTTCGCGACGCTGGGATCACGTCGAAAAATCTCACACGGTTGTCTTCACATTTGGCATTTCCCGCAATGAACATAAAGTCGTGTATGACCTTATTGTTGGCTCGTCCTCCTCCTCCTCCTTCTCCTCCTCCTTCTCCTCCTCCTCCTCCCTTCTCCTCCTCCTCCTCGCTCCTCCTCGCTCCTCCTCGCTCCTCCTCGCTCATCCGCGATCCTCCTCCTCCTCCTCCTCCTCCTCCTCCTCGTCTCAAGCACCGGCTCAAGGCTCCTCCGTAGCATTGTGCTCGACCCGCGCAGCCTCTGGGTCGCGTCCAGTGCCGCAAGGTGGCGCTTGGGTGACACCGCGTCGTCAACTCGTTATGCGCGCTGCAGAACGCGGTGGCACAACGGGACAACGTGCACAGCGGGCTCCATCTATCCCAGTGATATTGCCTTTGAAATGTCTGGGTAGCGCACGTACGACCGGGAGCACTTCTTTGTCATCGTCGGACTTCAAGGTAGTGATGCTGAGTGCTATCAGGAGCACTGGGCAATGCGGAGTGCAGACCTTTTATCAGGAGCACTGGGCAACGCGGAGTGCAGCACTGGGCAATGCGGAGTGCAATCTTCGTTTTGGGTATGCTTCGACACTGGAGGCTTCGTGGTGTTTTACGGCGATCTTCGCGTTGCATGTTTTTTACCATGGTTTGAGGTTCTGGTCTGTCCTGGACGTCTTCGACGACATCCGTCTCAAGGGGAGGGGAGGACCCGTATGAACACGGCCCTGGCACTGACCGACACCCCTTGGGCACACTCAACTCCTGGCTACCAGTGCTGGCTGTTCTGCATGGAAGCAACGAACATCGCATTGTGCTCGCTACACGTTGGAGGGACTCATCTATGGCATCCTGATGATCCGCAAGCTTCTCGGCATTATCTACCAGGCGCGGGCCTCGCCTTCTCTGAGTCGCGTTGCCCTTCGCAGTGCTCGTGGTGCATTTAGGGATCAGGGGTGGCGTTGTAGTGTAGCATATGGTGGTAATCCTGGTGACCCTCCTTTCCCTCTATTCCTCCTCCTCCTACTCCGTCCTCCTCCTCCTCCTCCTCCTCCTCCTCTTTCTCCTCCTCCTCTTCCTCCTCTTTCTCCTCCTCCTCCTCCTCCTCCTCCTCCTCCTCCTCCTCCTCCTCCCTCATCCCCCTTTTTTCTGTCAAGCGCATTCCGCCAGCGAAGAAGTGCCGCCGCAGCGGGCCCTCCTCAGCAGACAGCGGAGGCTCTAGACTCTAGAGACTCTGGGTGAATTTCGGGGACTGGCGCCGGCGACCTGCACGCCACATGAGCGACGATCAGAATGGGGTCTTACGCGAGATGACGTTGCGACCTCACGCGGTGGCTGAGGCGGGCCGCCCGCGCGGCACGCTGCATTGGAGACGAGGGCGCTTACGCGCCACCTTACGTGGGCACCTTACGCGCGAATGTCGGCGAAGACGACCCCCATTTTTCGGGGGCGCGCAAACATGGATGAGGGATCCATGGATTTGGCGCGCGGTCGCCAAATCCATGGATCGGGGGAGGTGCCCCACCCAAAATGCGGCCGGTGCCGCCTCCTCCGGCGGCGGAAATCCGCGATTCCCCATGGAGACGGGACCCGTCGCCAATCCACGCCCCCCTGATCCATGCTTGCGATCGCCCGAATTTGTTGCATCGCTCGCAGGGCCTGCGGCGTCGCGTCCTCGGACTTTGGAGTCTTCGGCGGGGCCCCCGCAGCCCACCGGCGACTTCGCGAGCCGCGCAGCTGGCCGTGGGCAGGGTGCTTTTTTGCGCTGCTCCTCGTGCGGCAGCCAGCGGCGCACACGCTGCCGCGGCTGGCTCTCGGAGTCGCGCAGGCTCCTCACTGCCACCATATCCTCCTCCTCCTCCTACTCCTTCTCCTCCTCCTCCTCTTCCTCCTCCTCCTCCTCTTCCTCCTCCTCTTCCTCCTTCTCCTCCTCCTCCTCCTCCTCTCCTCCTCCTCCTCCTCCTCCTCCTCCTCCCTCATCCTCCTGCCTCCTCCTCCTCCTCCTCCTCCTCCTCCTCCGCCTCCTCCTCCACCACTCGCCAGAGTCCGCAGGTCCTTCCCGGCTCACTCGAGGCTCTCCGGAGGCTTGCTTCTCGGAGCCCGCAGGCTCCCCAGGCATGCTTTCCAGCGTCCCTGGCAGGCGTCTCCCACAAGTTACCCACGCTTTGGACTGCTCTGCTATCCAGGTTTTGGACGCGAGAAATGGCCCACTGCCACCAATCGGAAACCACCACTCGCCAGAAACCGAGTCTTCCCTGAGTCCGCGTTTGTTCAAAAAGTCCGCGATCCGTACCCCCTGAGCCGCTTGCTCCGTCCGCACCTGTTTCGGCCGCACCTCCCCCCCCTCTCCTCCTCTTGCATGGTGGCGCAGTTCGCTCTGACGGCATCCCCGTTTGGGCATCCCTTCGACAGCGTCGACGTCCCCTGCCTCGCCGCCGACGCTAAAAGTGTTCAAAAAGTCCAGTTGGTCGATCAAACGCGTGCGCGCGCGGAGGGCGGGCGGACGCGGACGAGGGGGGAGGCCAGGGGACGCACCGCAACAAGACAAAGGGCCACAAGAACTATCTGGTAGATGTTGTGGCTCTGGCCCTGATATCCAAACACACAGGCCTCCGATGCCTTGGTTTCTTCGACGCAGCATCCCCAGGACACTCTGGACCACTCACTTCCCAGGAGCTGGCTTGTCGTCCCAAATCGTGTTCTGACGGTCGTGGGGCCCTGTGAGGGCCCCCAGTCGCCGAAAACGACGAGAAACCTCAGTCATGTGTTTTGCGAGACCGTTGGAAGTCTGGGCACCCCCACTTACGTCGCGGCGGCAGCCCCGGCAACACGTAATGCTGCCCGGATTCTGCAAGCGGGTAGCGTGACGCTCCGCTCCGCGGGGCGGGGGGCCGGGAAAAACTCGGCACGTTGACGCTTGGGGGGCTGGGGAGTGGTTAGCGACTCGCACCGAAGCGTGGTGGGCCAGAGCCGGCAGCGCGACACGCCAAGCCAAAGCTCGTGACCGCAGTCCTCACCCCCGAGCCTGGCTCTTGGACCCTCAGATTCGGACGTTGCCAAAAGCCATGCGCCACCGCGAAATACCGCGACCGGGGCCTTTAACCCCCATTTTTTGGGGGGTTCATTTGTCGAGCCGGATCGCCCTGCGAGGGCCCCCGGGGCACGAATCTGGGCGACAGCGCCCGGCTCGAAAACCCTGGGGCGCCAGGATCTCAAGCGGCTGGACGGCCCTGACGACGGGCCGCGCCGAGGACGGCCCGCACCCAGCGGGCCACGCGGCCGCGCGGCCTCGGCGGCGCCGCCAGCCGGCTGCACCCGGGCGGCCTGCGCCCCGCGGACCGCGGCCTCGCGCCGGCTGCTCGGCGAGCCGCCGGGCGAGCCGCGGGGCGGCGGGAACGCCTCGGCGACGGCGGCGGCGGCGGCGACGGCGGCGACGAGGGCGGCGGCGACGACAAGGGCGGCGGCGACGGCGGCGGCGGCTGCGACAACGACGGCCACGGCGGCGGCGACGACGACGAGGGCGGCGGCGACGCGACGGCGACGGCGGCGGCGACAAAGACGGCGGCGATAACGGCGACGGCGGCGGCCGCGGCGGCTACGACGACAAAAACGGCGGCGACAACGGCGGCAGCGACGGCGGCGGCGCGTTTGCGCAGTTCCCGGCTGCCAAGGGAGCTGCGAAGTCTATGCTGGGTGCGCGTGGCACTTCGCTGCGCTGGACCTCCCTTGGAGCCAACGCAAGTGGCGACAATTGCGAAAATCGCAGCTACCCAGGGAGCAACGAGGTCTCAAATGGGTGCGCGTGGCATTCCACACCACTGGACCTCTCAGGATCCCACGAAACTGGCAACACTTGCGCAGTTCGCAACCCCGGATTGAGCCGCAAGTTCTCAAATGGATCTGCGCTGCCCTCACATCCGCCGCGCTTCACAGGAGCTTGCGAAAGCGGCGACGGTTGCGCAGCTCCCAGCCACCAAGGGAGCCGCGAAGTCTCGGCTGGGTGCGCGTGGCACTCCACTCCGCGGGACCTCCCAGGAGCACACGAAAGCGGCGATAGTTGCGCAGTTGGCAGCTACACAGGGAGCAGCAAGGTCTCAAATGGGTGCGCGTGGCACTCCACACCGCTGGACCTCCCGGAAGCCAAGGAAACTGGCGACGATTTCACAAATTGCAGGCTCCCCAGGGAGCCGCGAGGTCTCAAATGGGTACGCGTGGCACTCCACACCGCTGGATCTCCCAGGAGCCCACGAAAGTGGCAACACTTGCACACACCGCAGCCACCCAGGGAGCTGCGAGGTCTCGGCTGGGTGCGCGTGGTGCTCCACTCCGCCGGACCCCCCCAGGAGCCCACGAAAATAGCGACAGTTGCGCACTTCGCAGCCTCCCTGTTGGAAAGGTGCGAGCAAGCGGTGCAAGGAGACAGGAGGCAGGAGGAGAAGGAGGATGAGGGAGGAGGACGAGGAGGAGGAGGAAGAGCAGCAGCAACAGCAGCATCTCATCCTCATCCTCCTCCTCCTACTCATCATCAGCAGCAGCAACAGCAGCAGCATCCTCATCCTCATCCGCATCCTCATCATCCTCCTCATCATCATCAGCATCATCATCAGCATCACCATTATCAACCCCAGTAACAGCAACAATATGGGGAGCAGAGCTGGCCCAGTGCTGCTAGTCATACAGTCTCGTCATATCCGCGTATCACCACCACCAAAACCACCACCACCATCATCGTCATCATCATCATCATCATCATCATCATCATCAGCATCATCATCGTCATCATCAGTACCAGCATCACCGCAGTCACCCATCATCACCATCACCATCATCACCACCATCATCATCCTCACCATCAGCAGCAGCACCATCCTCCTTCTCATGACTATCCTCAGCATCAGCATCAGCATCACCAATAGATACCACCATACTCACAACCACCATCATCATCAATTCCATCATCAAGATCATGATCCTCAGTATCGTCATCATCAGCATTACAATCATCAGCATCATCATCAGCGGGGGCATAATCATCATCACCACCACAATCAGCATCACCAATCCAAGCGCCACCATCATCATCACCATCAGCAGCATCAGCAGCATCATCAGCATCATCAGCACCATCAGCATCATCATCGCCACTATCACCAACACCAACACTATCACCATCACCAGCATCATCATCATAATCAACATCATCATCATCGGCATCAGCATCATCAGCATCATCACCGTCACCTTCTTCATCACCATCATCCGAATATTCAGCATCATCATCAGCATCATCCTCATCATCATCATCATCATCGTCATCATCATCATCATCATCATCATCATCATCATCATCATCATCCGAATCATCATCTTCATTATCACTCCCATCACCGCTATCGTCAATACCGCTAAGCCGATCGTGCACGTCGTCACTGTCATCGTCTTACCCGTCATCATCCTCATCATCACCATAATGATCACCAACATCATCAACATCATGATAACAATCAATAATCGTCATCACCGTCATCATCATCATCATCATCGTCATCATCATCATCATCATCAGCATCATCATCATCATCATCATCATCATCATCATCATCATCATCATCATCATCATCATCATCATCATCATCATCATCCATTATCATCATCATCGTCGTCGTCGTCGTTGTCGTCGTCGGGCCGGTGTTCCTGGAGATGCCTCCCGGACCATCCGGTCGACCGCGCACCTCGGGAGCCCGTCTGGAAGCGCTTGCACGGGCCGGGGGGAGGGGCGGGCTCCTGGAAGAGGCCCTCTTCCTCCTCCTCCTCCTCCTCCTCCTCCTCCTCCTCCTCCTCCTACTCCTCCTAGAAGGGTGACTTCGACGGCTGCTGGGGCGCCTCAGGCCTTGCTGGAGCGCCCAAGGTCGGGCTGGGAGGACCTCGAGTCCAGCGAAACCGACCTTGTCCAGCGAACCCTCCTGGCAGCCTCCGACTGAAGGGCATCGGGAGGCCTCAGAGGCCAGCCCATCGAGAGCGAGAAGGCGAGTTCTTAAGAACCTGCACTCGCACATTGGTTTTTGCATGAGTTAGACGTCCTGTTGGACCCTCTTGGGGGCATCTTCGAGGCCTCTTGGGTGCATTGGGAGGCCTCAAAGGCTGGCCCATCGAGAGCGAAAAGGCGAGGTCCTAAGAACCTGTATTCTCACGTTGGTTTTTGCATGCTTTGGACGTCCTGTTGGGCCCTCTTGGGAGCATCTTCGAGGCCTCTGGGGTCCTGGTGCTGCCTTGGGGCCTCGGGCTGGCTTCGCAGGCTGTCGTAGGGCGCTTTTTGGCCCGCGAGGCGCCTTCGGAAGCCGGCAGGCTGAGCTCTTCGAGATCGCTTGGGTCGTTTTTTTATCCAGTCCTCGCTGGGTTTTCTCTGCTTGATGTTTCAAGCGATATGCGCGTGCACTGAGCAATACAGGCCACACTGTTCTTTTGGCCTCTGGGGCTCCTTGTGGGGCTCTCTCGGGCAAGTTTGGGGCTCTCCGGCAGCCTCAGAAGCGGCCGCCAGATTGAGAAGGAGTCACAAGCATTAGCACTGTCATGGTGATCATCGTCACAGTCATCGTTACGGTCACAGTTTTCATCAGCATCCGCATCCTCAGCATCGTCACAATCACAGTCTTCATCATCGACGGCGTCCTCAAAGTCAGCATCAACATCGTCATGAACACCACGGACCGCATCATCATCATCATCATCATCATCATCATCATCATCATCATCAGCATCATCACCAGCATCATCATCAACAGAATCAGCATCATCATCATCCGCATCATCATCATCATCGTCATCATAATCATCATCATCATCAGCATCAGCATTAACACCATCAACATCGTCAACATCGTGACCACCATAATCATCATCATCCTCATTAACAGCATCCTCATCATCATCCTCATCCTCATCTTCACCATCACCATCACCACCAGCATCATCATCCGAGTCATGATCAACATCATTATCATAACTCATCGTCATCCGTAGCATCATCACAACACTCATCACCATCAGTAGCATCCCCATCACCATCTCATCACCCTCACAATCACCATCGCTATCACTATCATCATCAGCAGCAGCATCATCAGCATCGGCATCAACCTAATAAGCAGCTGCATCAGCAACATCATCATCAGCGTCATCATCATCACCATCATCATCATCATCACCAACCTCATCAGCATCATCGCAAACATTGGCATCAGTATCGAATTATGAACATTTTGGACACATCTTGGTCCGTCCTGAAAGCCTCCTTTCAGTCTCTTGGGAGCCCCTCAGTCGCCTTTTTGGGCCGTCTGGGAGCCACCATGCGCTGCCTGGGGCGAGGGCAGTGTCACCAGCAGGATAAACATCTTTATCATCAGACTCATCATCACCATCATCGTGACCCTCGCTGTCGTCGCAAGAATGAGCATCAAGATCGTCGGCATGACCATCATGATTAGCATCGTCGTCGTGTCGCTTTTGTTTTTTTACTGGAGGAGCGCGAAAGCGCGGAGAGAGGTGCAGGCGCCAACCAGCTCGACACCGTGCAATCGAGCGAGCGGCGACGGGGCAGCAGCAGTGCGCTGCCGACGCTGAATACGGTGGTGGGGCCTGGTGTGGCATTGCACACTGGGCCGCAGCAGCACCGAGAGGGGGGTTGAGCCACGGTCGGGGCGGACTGGCAACCTGAGTCCGCCCCCGTGCTCAGGGGCCCCCGTGAGATCCCTCCTGGTTAACGGTGCCCCAAGGCTCGGGTACAAGGCTGGCTGCGTAACCAGCACCGTCGAGACAGGAGGGAGAAAGAAGTGTGCGGCGTTCCTTCCCCCTGAGGCGGGGTGCTTGACACGCGTGCAGGGCGCACACGCACGCGCACACATACAGCACGCATGTCTCGACAGGCTGGCGGTACCCCAAAGCTCGGGTACTAGGACAGGCTGCGTAACCTGCACCGCAAGGCTCGGTTGACCCCGAGGCCAACGCAAAGTGGCAGGAGTTGCCACCAAGAAACTAGGATGCCAAAATCGACCACCCACACAAGGACGACGAGACCCGCCCCGGGTGCAGAGAGCGCCAGGACGACGGCAGGCCTCGCCCCAGATGTGGGGTATGCACACGGATGCCTGCCCTGAGGGTCAGTCGCATCGGGCCGTGCGCCATTGGCAGGAACAAACACAAGAGGCCACGCTTTGACCAAAGAGCTTGGCCAAGCCTAAAGAGATCGTCTAGTATAAACAACCGTTCTGCACTGCTTTGCCCTCTGCTGTGGAAGTTGGCCCAGCAAGAGGGCCGCCAGATTCTTGCGCCCACGGCGCGTGATCGGTTTACACGGTTTGCCCAAGCCATCGGAACGGACCCGAAATCGGCCATACAGTCCA